CGAGACTTGTGATCCTGCCTGCTCAGGACAAGATGACCTCCATTTCCACTTTTCCTCTGACTAGATTAGCAGTGTGAACGATGCAGTGTTCCAAGGATGATAAGAATTAGAAATGAGCTGTAGCACGATTAGCCACATATTTTGACATGTTAGCAGCAGTCTTACATTATGCAACATATACAATGCATGAAGCAAGAGATTTACTAGTCCATTATGAACTAGACATGAGTTTTTCCAATGTTTCCTGAATGCCTCTACAACCCACACATAAAAAGCGAAGGACTGCCATGAGTTCAAGCCCACCCTGTGTTACATGTCAACACTGTCTCAAAAAAATCTAAACGACTCAAGACAAAATTTGTAACACGTTACACACGTGATGGCTAATTTTATTGTGTATGCATAATAAACTTCCGTTATGAAGTATACTGTTCGCAACATCAGGACTACTTACTGCATGTGTCACTTACACTGTGGTCTCGCATTACTGGAAGGGGACCCTGCGGTAGAATGAGCAGCTACTGAACCGCAGGCCAGAAGAACGCGGGATATTCTACCAAGCACTGTAGTACTAGCAGATAAGAAGGCCAAATACGGTGAGGCGGCCAGGGGGTCTCGCAGACAGCTTTCCAATGTGTCAGACAGTGTGATAGTTCATTGAATCAGCAGACAGTGGTAGCTGTGCATAATGGTAAAAACCTATCTATACATTTATCTCTAAAACTGCTGAGAGATAACAATTCACAAAATTTACTCAATTTCTCTTTTAAAACCTGATTTGAGCTTCCCCAAGCCATCATTTTCCAAAGCACAAATTGTATTACCAGCATTAAAAAAAAAACTCATTGAATATAGAAAGCTGTCCAAAGTAACATCACCATGGTGCAAGACTGCTGGGACTGTTCCTGCTGAGAAACCGTATCAATATTGATAACTGGCAAAGAAGAAATTTTAAACTACATTGCATCTTTGGGAAAATGTACGGCTAGTCTGTGGCAGTAGGAAATTCACAAAAAGATTTTTTGGATGAGTTGCATATTGAACTCACAAAGCATGGCAATATGAGCATGAGAAGTAAATTTTCCTGATTAAAATCTGATATTGTGGCCGGGGAATGGCTCAGTAGAATAAGTGCTTCCCTGGCAAGCGCAAGGGCCTGCGTTCAATCCCCGGTTCTGAAAAAAAAAAAATCTGATATTGCACTCACAGCATATTAACAGCTCTGAAAAAGAAAAAAATGAAAACTGATGTACTGCATGTAATCTAAAATTGTTAGGATACATATATTTTCTTAGATTAAAAAACACATTGAAAAAAAAAAAAAAAACACATTGGCTAACTTACATTGCCTGAAAATAGATGAACGATTAAGCACATCTAGAGATTACTAGTAATAAAATTATAAAACATGATAGCCAATTAAAAATTCCTGCTACAGTAGGGGATATGGGCAGCAAAGCTTCAAATGCAAGCTAGTAGAAAAATCCTTAAGAATGACGGAAAAGGCCAAATAACTCAGTGGATTAAAGCACCTGCAAGCAGCCGCAGGGCCAGGGGTTCAATCCCCAGGCCTGCCATGCCGGCCCCGCCCTTGGGGTGTGCTAAACCAGCAACTGAGATTGGACGTGTTGGCGAGCACCTGTAATCCCAGCACTTGGGAGGCTGTAAACAGGAGAATTATTACGAGTCTGATCTAGTAGTGAGACCCTGAACACCCTGTAAACCCTTCCCCAAAATAGGAAAAAAAAAAGTTTAGGAAAATTCAGTTTTGGATTCACATTACCCCACAATTAGTAAATGCAAAAAAAAAAAAAAAAAAAAGTTGCAATTATTGGACTATTATGTATGAGATTCACTTCTTACTGCACCTGCAGACTTTCAAGTGTAACTTATCCCATGTACTTACAATGCCTGTGTAGCGTATTCACACATTGCTGTTTCAAAACTGTTTCATGTCCTTGACGAACATCACCTGTAAGCTTTCCTACACGGTCTACCCATACTGTGCTCAAAAGAGAATGTGTGGTTAGTTTTCCCTCAATATCTACCTAAGTGTGCTGAGAGTTCTTCTAAGTTTCTAACTACCTCTGCACTTCAAAGGCTTTCGCACGTGGCTTACAGTTTCTCCTCACTGTGAGAAAGTATATGTGGCTGATGTCTGTTTACTATAAAAGCTTTCCTCATAGCTCAGTGGACTAAAGCTCCTGCTTAGGCAGACACAGAGGTCAGATTCAGGTCCCTGGCATGCAATGTTGGCCCCAGCCCCGGGGCATGCTGAGACGTGACTGGGACTGGGTGTGGTAGCAGGCGCCTAAAATCCAGGACTTGGGAGGCTGAAAAACAGGAAGCTTCACTTGAAGTCCAATCTGTGCAGTGAGACCCTGCAGACCCTGTACTAAGTGCATAAAAACATATATAACAAAGCTTCCCAACACTGCTTATACAGGGCTTCTCATGTGAGATTTTTCATGTATTTTCCAACGTGTTTGTCCACTAAATGCTTTCCCACATTGCCTACATACAAATGGTTTCTCTCCAGTGTGAGTCCGTTCATGACTTTGACAAATAGCACTGGTTATGAAAGCTTTCCCACAATGCTTACATGCAAAAGGTTTTTCCCCTGTATGAGTTCTTTTATGTACTTGACAATTATATTGTCTGTTGAAAGCTTTCCCACAGTGGTTACACACATATGGTTTCTCGCCAGTGTGAGTCTGTTCATGCATTTTACAAACATTACTTATGCTAAAAGCTTTTCCGCACTGCTTACATACATAGGGTTTCTCCCCTGTGTGAGTTCTCTTATGTACTTCACATCTATACTGCCTGCTGAAAGCTTTCCCACATTGGTTGCATACATAGGGCTTCTCCCCACTGTGCGTGCTTACATGTGTTTTATAATCCCTCTGTGCAACATAGGCTTTCCCACATTGCTTACATACATAGGGTTTCTCACCAGTGTGAGTCCTCTTGTGTGTTTCCCAACCTGATTTTCTGCTGAATGATTTCCCACATTGTGTACAAACATAGGGCTTCTGCCCAGTGTGCATCCATTCATGAGTTTGACAAAGAGTCCTTGTGTGGAAACATTTTCCACATTGCTTACATACATAGGGTTTCTCTCCAGTGTGAATTCTTTCATGGTTTCGACACTTATGAGATGTTGTGAAAGCTTTCGCACAGTACTTACATACATAGGGTTTCTCCCCAGTGTGAGTCCGTTCATGTCTCTTAAAATCTGTTTGTCTGACAAAAGCTTTCCCACACTGCTTACATACATAAGGCTTCTCCCCAGTGTGAGTCCGTATATGTGTTTCACGATCTCTCTGTCTCATAAATGCTTTTCCACAATGATTACATGCATAGGGTTTCTCCCCAGTGTGAGCCTGTATGTGTAATTCATAACCTCTGAGTGTGATAAACGCTTTCCCACATTGCTTGCATACATAGGGTTTTTCCCCAGTATGAGTCCATACATGAAGTTGGGAAGTTCTGCGTGTTTTGAAAGCTTTTCCACACTGCTGACATACATAGGGCTTCTCTGAACTGTGGGTTCTTTCATGTTCTTGACAACTACCTTGTCTGCTGAAAGCTTTTCCACATTGCTTACATAGATAAGGTTTTTCCCCAGTATGAGTCCGTTCATGAATTTTACAAACACTATTTGTTCTGAAAGTTTTGCCACATTGCTTACATGCATAGGGTTTCTCTCCGGTGTGAATTCTCTCATGTATTTGACACTTATAATGTGTGCTGAAAGCTCTCCCACATTGCTTACATGCATAAGGTTTCTCTCCAGTGTGAATTCTTTCGTGTATTTGGTATTTATGATGCGTGCTGAAAGCTTTCCCACATTGCTTACATATATAGGGTTTCTCCCCAGAGTGAGCTCGTTCATGCCTTTGCCAGTTATCCGTTCTGCTGAAAGCTTTCCCACAATGCTTGCATACATAAGGTTTCTCTCCAGTGTGAACTCGTTCATGCATTTGCCAATTCCCTTTTCTGCTGAAAGGTTTCCCACAATGTTTACATATATAACGTATCTGCCCATTATAAGTTCTTCCATAATTGCCTAATGAATTGTTAATGAAGCATTTTCCATAATGGTTATCTACATGGGTTTTTTCTACAGAGTAATTTTTTTCATGTGTCTGATGACCATAATGAGAATTAAGACCTTTACCCCATAGTAGAAGAGTATACATATTCACTTCACTGTGACTCCTTTCCCACCTTTGAACACCACCTATGAATGATAATACATCTGGGTTCTCTTCAATGGCCCGTTCTTCAGTGCAGTCAGAATAGGATTCTGTACATGCCATATATTCATGAGGTTTCTCCCCAAGACTTATGCTTGCATGTTTCTCATAGGACTGGAATTCTATGCAGGCTTTACCATGTTTGTCACAGGCAGAAAGCTTCTCTTGAAATTCCCGCTGCTCACATCGCTTGAGTGCAATGGTGGCCATGCTGGGGTCATCTGTCGG